AAAATACGTTTCATCGAAAATGCTTTGATAACGTATTTATCGTGTTTTTTTTCTGGGAACAAATTCCGCAACATTTTTATTAAAATAGGTACTTCGATTTTTATAAAGCATAAACAAAATCGGTGTTTTCTGGCCGTGAAATTGGGGATGTCACAAGTTTAGATTTCAATAATGCATTAGAAAATGAAAAATAAATCACTGAGAAAACGAAAAATTGTAGAACATGCATAAATGAGTGAGAAAATATCCATACTCCATTCCAACAGAATTAGAATTCATGATTCCATTCCAATAGAATTGGAATTCGTGATTCCATACAATTCATGAACAAATGTCATTGATCTTCTTCAATGGTCCATAATCAGTTGATTCCAACCATTCTTACGAGAATGACATTTTGTCAGACTAATACCAAACGAGAATTACGTTCTACAAGAATACCATTTCCAACCTCCAGATCCTTTTCTAATAATAAAAAAGAAATATCAAACTAATAATCCAACTTAAAATTAAAGTTCAGTGAAAATTCCAAGTAGTCTTACTTGATACCAGTAAAAATAGATGATAGCTCTTATTCTTCCTTCTCTGCTATTACCATCGAAACACGTGTTTTTAGACATTTGAGTTGTATATATCTCATGATCAAGAAATGATGGTTACTTGAGGCAAAAGTGAACCCATAAATGTTGAGCATAGAGTAGTGACAACTCCAATTGTTATGATATACCTGTGATTTAATTGATTATTAGCATTTTGAATCGTTTTATTTGAAATTATTTTGTGCACAATGATATTTACTTACACTGCCCATCGAACACCATGGCTTGCAAATGAAGAAGAGATAGGGGTGTCAGGATCCATGGCATAATATGGTACTAAACCAACAATCACCTCAGACACCAACATATATAACATGCAGCATATAGATAGTGTAGCTCCTATTCCCAAAGGCATATCCCTTGGAGGGTTCTTCACCTGTACAATTCCCCAAAAAGGTTAGTTTAGACATTTGACTAATAGTCATATATGTTGAAATTTTAAGGGGAGATTTAGGGAGTAGTTGTATAGAAGATCTTGTACCTCTTATGTTGTGTTGGCAACTGAATCAAACCCTATGTATGAAAAGAAGATAGTAGAAGCTCCAGCAAGCATCCCATCGACTCCAAATGGAAAGTACCCAACAGGTAGTCTATACCCAATCCATCCACTTTTGAACCCTAGATATCCACCCGCTAAAATAATAAAGATCATAGCATAAATGTTTGCAGTCATGACCACTGATTGCACGAAAGTGCTCTGTAACATTCAATTTTCATAAAACAAACATGTTTAACAACAATTCCAACACAACTTGGTGAAGAAAAAAATGATCTTTGGAAGAAGATGAAGGAATACCTCTTTGATTCCAACACATAATAACACTGTAAAAATAAACACCAAGAAATCTGCACAAGGGTCAACCACAATACCAAGTGAAGGAATTGAATGACATGCTAAAAAAAATGGTAGACTATCTAAACCTCCAAAGAGCAATGCCTGAAAATAATTGATTTCAAAATACCAATTAAGTCCAGAAAGTAGCATCATTGCCTATTACTTTCATATACGTACCAGATTAGGAAAAATATCACAAAACCCCATCGCACCAACCTCTTCTTCTCCCGTTGAGCTAATGCCACCGAAGCCCCACCTGTCGTCGGACCCTCTTCTGGTCTCACCCTTTACTCTCTCTTTTGTTCCTATCGAGTGAAGCCTTCGAAGATTCGATTAACCGCTGATCCATCTCCCCCTTTGACCTTGTGAGTCCCCTGAGATATCCTCTTTTCCATCGATGGCAATCTATTTTTGTAGAACTCAAGATCGATTTTGTAGTCTATTCCAATTTTGCAGATCTGCCAAGATTTGGTTTTTAGATAAAGAGCGGAACGAGATATAAACCGGATATATTAGGTTAACAGTCAATACCATGATTATAGGGATTATTTTTGGAGGTTACTAAACAAATTACTAAATTATCCTTATTTATTTATTTAATTATTTAATTTTTTATTTAATTTTCATTGACCCACGTTTATGCATACAATAACACAATAATTACTTTAAATACTTGAACCTAGCTCTCTCTCTCTCTCTCTCTCTCTCTCTATATATATATATATATATATATATATATATATATATATATATATACTAGAAAAGTTATAGGCCCGTGCTAAGCACGGTCCACGAAGGATAATAATATTTCTTTTACCATAATCTAAAATATAATGCGCTAATGAAAATGTATGGATTTTCAATGTCAAAGCACGAATAAGAAATGGAAAATGGAAGTGTATTCTTTTAACAAAGTAAATAAAATTTCAGTTTCATGTTTTTTGCAAGATTGTTGTAACTGTTCATAGTTAAATTTTGCCGTTCGTGGCTAAGCACCACCCGTGAAGGGTAATTTGGGTATTTGAAAACATTAAGGTAGAATCTTATGATTTTTATAGTGTTTGTATATTGGAACACATTAAACACTAAAATATAAAATTTTACATCCACAGTGTATAAACAGGCAATAAGTTGCACCATTCACCCTCTCTGAAAGTGTGAAGTCTTTACCTTAGTGTGATGTATATGTTTATTGATAAACCGTTCTTTAGTTTCATTGATTTGTTTTTTTCATCAATTTGTTAACTATGATTATATCTGATGTTTCTCTTACTAAGATTATAAGCAGAAGTATATTGTCTATATTAAATATTATCATGTTGCAGTGACTTTATATATGTTTCATAATACAACGACAAGGTTCATGTGATTGTTGATCCTAGTTCAAAAGTAAAACAAAGTTGTCCATCATCATTTTAGAGTGTCATTGGTAGAGGCTTAAATTTTTGTTGTCGATGCACTCTTTTAGCTCAAATTATACAACTTAAATGAAGTAGAATGCATATTTATTTGTGTTTGAATTTCACAACATATAAGCAAACAAGAGCCATGAAGATCACGGCCATACATCACCTCAAGTTGGTATGTTGGGAACTCTTATCTTGTTATTTATCTATTGATATATTTGCATATTGATTATCCGATCTTCTTCAGCTATTCTTTTGTGAATCCAGGTGTTGTAGTTAAGACCTCATATCAATAATCATTACGATAAGGTAGTTATAATATTACCACAATAAAAACATATCTAGGATAGAGTAAGACAATAACATGCCAAATATGGCACAAAATGAAGTGGAATAACTATAGGAAAGAAAATTCAATGAACCTTAGCTTTTGAATTATGGTTCCTAGTGTTAATAAACTGTATGCTTACATATATATAAGACAGTAAAGTGAAGTGAATTGAGGATAAACAAACATTGCACAAAAATAGTAATTTACTCTAGAGGATAATTTAACCAATGCTAAAGGCATCGCATAAATGACACAAAAAAAATGTCGTGTTATCACCTCAAAGAATGAGAGTGATTTTAGTCCTTACCTTGAGAACATAAATAAATGGCATGTGATTGACTATCCAATTAAAAAAAATTCAAATGTGTAAGTAATTTAAAATTTATGGTTGTTTGCATACCACATCTTTCTCCGGTACATCCTTGCATTCTCTAAACTTTGTGAACCTTTTTGCTTGTTTTGTGCTCTGTGAGAGGAAAGTCGGGACAAATATATAAAAGTTAAAGGACAAGATAGTAATATTAGCAAGGCAAGAGAAAAAATAGCATGTCATCGATTTTTGATAGTCTAGTACTCAGATTAGACAATACCAGCTAAAGATAATGAAAATATTAATATGGGTACTTTCATTAGCCTCAATGCAAGCAACATGTTGATATTTTACAGCCAAATAAAGATAGATTTGTTTAAGATGATATTGAAGGGGATGATACTCACTTTTAATACTTTCATGCATGAATAGCATTAAGATTATAAGACTAAACAATTCACCAGCCACACATGTAAATATATTGATAATAGATCACGCACAAAGGATAGATGGCAATATCAACAAAAGGGTCATGCAAGTGCAAACTCTATTCTCATTAAGATTATAGAACTTAATATATCGTTTAACATGCTAAATGTAAATAAGGTATGCTAGTTTAAGCCACATGAGTAGCTAGAAAGTACCATCGGGAGTGATGTATATAGATTTACCTGAATGTAAATGATGTCAGGTTGAATAGTATCTTCAGCAGATAACCAACGAATGGTTTTTTTCTCATTTCCTATATCTTTTTTCATCAACCCATCAAATTCAAGTACAATTCCATGACAACATTATAGTGTGAACAACGCACGTGATATTATACACACAAATCAATTGAAATAATGTCAAACAGATAAAAAAGCATCTAGGATATTAGTCTTCAATTACAATGGTGTACTTAACAGGAAATTATAGTTAAGTCAAGAGGTGGCGAGACGGTGTTTTAACTAAAACAGAAAAGCAGGAGATGAAAGGCATGAGGGAAGCATGTCGTGGGTTTTCAAAGGCTTAAATGTGATTTGGTAGTAATCCACACCCATGTTTGACCACTAAAACAACCAAATCTGTCAGGAATAAATTTCAATTACCAATAGATATTAGTTCTTAAAAATAAAAAATAACAGTTTGTCCAAGCATCTTCCCAACACAAACATCAAATTATCCTATGAATATGAAGTGCTTATTTAGTTTACTAATCTTATAAAAGGTATATAGTTAACAAGTGAGTAGAAAAGAATTTCATATATTTTTTTCATATTCTTGTTTCATCTTGTTGACTTATGCAAGCATTTAAGATTTTTTCAAATAGCAAAGATTCGAGCCAGGGGGCAGGTTTTTCGAACATGATGATTCAACCTACAAATTATGAGTTAAAAAAATCAAAATTTGATAAAATTATGTATAAGAAATTGGAAATTTGAAGTGAGCCACCAAATTTCTTAGAAACGGAGGCCAATATTCCCTTGTAAATTAGTGGTTTTGTTTCAGGGTTCTTTAAGTGAAAACCAATTATAGAGAGGCACAAAATCCACAAGCTTTTTCCGAACTTTAGAATACATTCCCGATTATGTTCAAACAATGAAAGAATGGACGTCTATCAATCGTTGAAGAAACTGTAAAAAAAACAAATAAACCAAAAATTGACATAATCAAACTCACCTTTTTGGATGGCGGTCAATCGTTGAAGATAGAACATTAGGGTACCCACCACTGCCAATTGTTGATGTAGGAAGAGGGAGATGAATAAAACACCAATCAAACAAATTAATCTGGATGAAGAATTGCGATTAGGAAAAGAGAATCGGTAGATGAATGCAGACTGCATATGTGTTTGTTGGCGGATTAAAGGGAGTCCAAGATGAAACGACGTCTTCAAGAGAGGCGACGGTACCCATGGATCCAATGGATCTATATCTACACCAAAGTCGGCCAAATGCACTCCTTTAAGATCTGTGGCGTTGTTTAGAAGTTAGGACACGTGGCGTCAACAAAACCTTGTAGTTATAATTTAGGAGGCACAAGATAAATAGGGTTTTTATATATAATATTAACTAGAAGGAATTTGGTTGCGCCCTTGAGGCCAATTTGAATAATGTTTGGAAAAAGAAAGTTGAAATTAATTTTTCGAAAATGGTATTAAAAGTTTTATAAATAGAATTTGTTTATGTTGCAATTATCCATTACATTTCATGATAGAATTGAAAAGAGAAAGGAAAACATTTACTCATTAAACAATGAAAATTTAACAAAATAAAAAGAAGAGAATGGTCCATTCCATTCCATCTAGCAACGGAATGAACAATTTCATTCCGTCGTTGATTCCATTCTTCTTGCACAAGTACTATTGTAAAAAAAACAGAATAAAGCATAGCAAGCATTCGGTGTTGATTTCTTTCTTGAACACGAGACGTTAATTATGGCGACAGTTGAAAGAACATGATTGGGCATAAGCAATGTGTACAATTGAAAGATTTTTTTTTTGTTTTTGGTGTGCTATTAAAGTTGAGTATTAAAACATATAGGATTCCATTTGTTCCCCACATGACTCTTCGGATACATCATCCCATCTCATTGATGGTTACCGATGACCAAGGCCGACATCCGACGACTCTTCACCAAGTTCTTTCAAAATTGATAACTTATTACATTTTCCGACCAAAACACCACCTACATCCACAAGATGAAAATCAAATATCAATATCGGGGAACCCATTTTGAATAAATAAAAAAAGATTCATGTACCACAAGTGGAAGGGCTTTGTTATACATACTTTGAACACATGATTAAGGGAGTGCATCGCCACCCATGATTCATATGGTTTAAATAATGCCAACATTAACGGTGCATCATATTAAGTGAGTTCCTTTTTTCATTTGGAGTTTTGGACCATTTTACCCCTGTGCATGTGGGCGACTATATTGTTGTATTTTCTCGGTCTTCTATATGATGGAACATTTTACCCTTGTGCATTTGGGCGACTATATTGTTGTATTTTCCCGGTGGGTATTATTGTGAAATTTATTTTCTTAAAAGTACAACAAAAAACAATGGCAATTAATTAGCTATCATTGTTTTAGATTGAAATATCAGAGAAGAACGAATAATTTTATGCAGATTAGTGGCCATCAAGTCATACACAACATACATGTCATCAAATTCTCTTTCTATGGTGGCGTTATGATGTTTTCAATCTTGAGAATGTGCAAAATATTGAGAAATAAGTCATAATCATGTATAAGAAGGTCCACAATACAGAAAAACTATAAAAGAAGAAGATGATGATCGAGAAATGACAGTGCATACATTCTCATGATCCATATGGCCGAGGAGTTTGATTTCATGTAAATTAGAACTTATATGGGTCGCATAATTAGGCAAAGTAGTCCATGATTAGATTAAAACTACCTGAAATACAACAAGACGTGTTATAAGGGTTAACTATGGAGAAAATATAGATTATTTACTTCAACTTTTAACAAAATATTAAAATATTTATAAAGCTTGTTAATGAATATTTCTATGATTCCGAAATAAAGTAATTAATTAACTATACAATCTATGGATAATATACATCAGTCTTGTTCGACATGTGTTTGATTGGCTAGAAATGGAAAGGAACCTGTGAGCGAAAAGGGGGAAAGTAGATGCATTTCTAAAATATGAAAAGTAAGTTATTGGAAAACATTACAAACAAATATTTACACATATAATGCAATTTTTGGAGGATGTGAGAAATAATAAAGAAACCTTGTTTGGAACTGACGCTGGTTTTATGTTCCATATACTGAGTAAGCATCAAACAAACAACTGTGACAATGTCTTTCGTCAATTGATCTAATGTCTTTTGTTATAATTTAATTGATTGTTTGCTATACCTGCAGTCAAACTCAAGTTACTATCATAGAGTGATATGGATCAATACATTGTTCAGGTGGTCAGTCAGCCGTAGTGGACCCAAAGGCTTGGTGAATTTTGCCACATCCCTTTCCTCCTCTTCTTTAAATCTGTTACTACACTGTAGGTAGCCTCAGGTAGTTGGTAATTGTCATATTCTGTGTAATATCAGTTATTGGCAACAGAAATTCATGAAAAAATATATAAAAAATTTAACATGTTGCAGAGAACCGCAAAACTTTGGGTAAAGAGTAGATGATGGATGTGACTTTAATCAAAAAATCAGAAAAAATGAGTTTAAATTCTAAAATTTGGGGAAATTAGGGTCAAGATAAATTAATTTAAAGATTCAGGGTGGCTTTTAAGCTGGTCAGCTTTAGTGCACAAGTCCGCAGTTGTCCTTACAACTGTCATCAAGACAAATAAAACCAATACATACATGGTTCCATCCATGACTGAATAACAACCTGTTCAAAGGATTGGAGATGGATTTGAGAAACTTAGTCAGAGATGTCGAACATATGATAGTTAAAGGCCGTCGGGTAGGGGGCTTTCACCAGAACCTCAACACACCAGCGACAGTATCCGGGTGCACTTTGCGTTTGTTTGTGGTATAGCCAAAAAGAGGAAGCAACAGTTGGTGGCGTCTGGTTGTTTGTTGTCGGTGTCGGAGTTTGCTGATGGCGGTGGTGGACAGTCAAATGAAGCCAAACTTGAATATTAGGAAAGATAAAATTTACTGAGACATAAACACAAACACCTAACATGCATAACAAACCTAAGGAACTTAACAGAAGAGAAACCCGCGTGGCCATCGAAAACGACAGCAAACCCACTTCCACTCAGCGCCACTTATTGTCACCATTTGCTTGCAGCTGCTCGCGACTTCCTTCTGTCCCAACGGTCAACCAGATGAAAAGAATACAAGGTAGCTCCGCTGGTTGGTTCTAGGGTTAGAAGAAAGGAAATTTTTTTAATAAGAACACAAACGAACAGAAGGGAGGCAACTGGGTTTGATGAACAAAAGACAAGGATGAGAAAACCTAAGGGGTTTACGCTTTCCCATGAGAAATAGAAGTTTAAGTGGCAAAATAAGAAAGCCAAGAAACTTCCGTGTCCAAACATGAAAAAGAAAAAAACTAAGTGCTCCTCAACCTTTTAAGCTTTTATGTATATATAAACTAAGTTTGAAACTCATGTATTAAATGAGTTTATTTAAAAGAAAAATTAAATACAAAATTATAAACATTTGAAAAGTTTGAATTTATAAAAAAAAGTGAGTAAATATTGAATTATAAAAATTAGAGTGTTTTTTTTTCTCTTTTAAATTTAAACAAATAATTTAGATATATAAATAAAGAAAATTAATGAATCTTTAATTTAGTAATTTTGGAATTAAAAGGAAATTCATTAATGAATTTGATATATATTTATTATTACATTTAAATACTAAAGGTATTTAATAAAAGGAAAAAAACCATAAAATGACATGTGGAATAAAAATTAATTTAAAATAACCACAAAATTACATGTGACAAAAATAAATGAGAATGTCACATATGACAAAAAGATTTTTATTTATTAGGGAGGATGATATATATATATATATATATATATATATATATATATATATATATATATATATATATATATATATATAGGATCAAATGAGAACACCTAAAAGGTTGAGAACGCGAGAACACTTATCAACCAATCATTAAATTAGGGCATATAAGTAATTTTGTATTTAATATAATTAATAATTCATATAATATAATTAATAACCCATATATTATCCAAAATCATGGATCAATAACATCGACAATTAAGGGATATTGCATAATTATCGTTGATTTAAGGATACAGTTTCTATCTAATTTACGATTCTTAGTCAATCGACAATTGCATCAGTAACATCGATTATCGTTGAAGATAACAATTTATACGTTTGGTAAGCCAAATTAACGATGTTGGACTACTTTGATTATAATAGTGACAATACTGAAGATGATGAACAATATGACCATCAATCAATCGACAATAATCAAAATTATGAAGATGATTACTACCAATCGGATGATCAATCTAGCGGAAGAAATCAATACTCTGATAATGCGAGTGAAGGTAACATTATGAATATAATTTACATACAAATCGTGTGTTACAATCAACAATGAATTTGGATATATATGATGAATTCTTTACGTTTATATAACATTATTTTTCTGTTATTTTATTATAATGCGTGTACTTGTTTGAGTAAATATGTGTTAATTATTAACTGTGACATCCACATTTTCACGACCAGAAAATACCGATTTGTTTATGCTTTGTTTTAAAATCAGAGTAATCGTTTAAAGAAAACGGTTGCGGAATTTGTTCCCAAAACAAAATATGATAAGAATTTATCAAATCATTTCTTTAAAGAAATGTATTTTCATTATATAACAAAATCTCGGGATGTAATGTTCCGATGCATACACATAAGCATAAAAAGAACTTACATTATTTACACTAAATATTTTACATCTCCTTTAATCTCTCCATGAAATATATCTTCGTATCGATACCTGTGATACAAAGAAAACTGAGTGAGTCAGGTTTGGGAGCCTGGTGAGCATATAGCGTTTTCAACCCACAATATTATATATATATATATATATATATATATATATATATATATATATATATATATATATATATATATATATATATATATATATATTCAATCATCAAACAATCAACCCAATTTGATGAATCAAAGAATCGAGTGTAAAATGAATCAGAGTTTAAAATCAAAGTAAGGATGTGAGATTGAACAACAATGTAAATAAGATCTTGTTTCAGCTCAACATTACGCTTTTGTGTTTACAGAGTACAAGTAGACAAGTCTGTAAAAACTCTATCTAACTCTAGTAAAGACTCCTATTTATAGGAGATGAAAAGCGTACAGAGAATTAAAATCAAAGTAAGGATGCGAGATTGAACAACGATGTAAATAAGATCTTGTTTCAGCTCAACATTACGGTTTTGTGTTTACAAAGTACAAGTAGACAAGTCTATAAAGACTCCTATGTAACTCTAGTAAAGACTCCTATTTATAGGAGATGAAAAGCGTAAGGACTTAAAACTAAAGCTTCGAATACATGTGCCTTAGTAAAATAGATTACAGAGAATACGAAGAATACAAAACATACGAAGACCTATTACACTTCGAGTAATTACAAACAAAATCAGCCCTTACAATCTCCCCCTTTGTAATCATAGTCGAAGTCTTCAATTTGTAAGAAGCTGGATGGAATACAACATTACTCTTTGTATCTTAGAGAACCATGAAATAATCTTCTTGAGTTCCTTCTTATCACCTTCATTATTTTTCTTGCAGTGGTTCATATGAACAATGAGGTTCGTATATTGAGAAGTTGCATATCTCTCCGCTTCGCAAGCTTGAAATAAAAATCTTT